TGATCCAAAACAAATACAGCAAAAATTATATTTGCTTTTAAGTTAAGGTAGTAAATATTCTGAAAGGAATAAGATATTTACAAATATTCTATTTCCAACAACTGGAAGGCATTCTAATATTATAAAGAGATATATATAAATAAGTAATGGATTATTGTGGATTAAAGGTACTTAATAAAAAATTAGCTGGTATCCCAGAACTGTTTTAATAAAAACCTCCCGGAAAGGAAACTGAAAAAAATACTGCCAACAAGGCTGTAAGATAGTTTCCTGAGGGCACAATATATTTGCAGTGTATATCACAGTGTTTGGCATACTTACACCCAATATATGTTTGCTAAATGAATAAACAGGACACTAGCAAGTGAGTAAATTAAAAAAAATATTGCCCTCAGCTGTCTACTTTGCCTCCTACAAACTCTTAATAAAAAACTGAGAGATCAAGTTCTAATGATTTCCTTTTTTATGTCTATTATATCAGGACTAAGGAAGAGCACTCGAATATAAAAGCTAAGTTCTACCCTAGGAGAAAAAAAAATCACAAACTTAAGGTATCAGTTGGCGCATCCTTCAATAGTTCAGTTGGTAGAGCGGAGGACTGTAGACTGCAACTAAAGGTATCAGTTGATGCTTTAGGTGAGAAGTGCTTGTAATGTTATTTGAGATCTTTTAGGCAGTAGAGCACGCTGAAGATTTTCTCTATGTAACCTCATCTCCAGACAGAAGGGAGAGAAATACCCAGAGAGCAGTAGGACCATGTCTTGCTGCCCCAGGACTCTGCCCTTGACAGGGATTCCTCTCAGAAACTAAATGCCAATTAAAATCAGATTTCCAAAAGTAAAAGAAAAAATAAATTATTGAAGAGAAATGAAATGAGAAAAAAGAAAAACAAGGACATGAGTCAAAAAGGTGTGAAGGCAAATGTTACTGCACCTTCCAAATACATACCTACATACATCACACACACACACACACACACACACACACACACACACACACACACACACACACACACACACACACACACCCGGCAAAAAGAAAAGCATTAAGCTTACATACGTCTTATTTCTCACTTTTAAAATCTGTAGAGTGACTTCAAAATTAACTTCAGTCTTTTATTATTCTTCGCACTTTCAGGATTCCTGAAATCACACCTGGTATGGGAGGATCTGTAAATGGCATTGAAACTCCATATTGAATGCAATGGTTTCTAAAAATATTCAGATTGCTATAAGGTTTAAAGGGAAAAAAACTTAGGTTACACTTTTACCCATGGTGATATGCATGACTTAAGAGTGTAGCAATAGAATATTTTAGTTTTTGCTTGTAGGTCCCTGATTACACAGTGATTACAGCAGCAGTCATTTTAGGGCATTACCATCCAGCAGCTGTTTTGCTAACAATCTGTAGAAGAAATGTGTTGCTTGTCACTATTAATACTCATTGGACAGGTGTATACGTTCCAAGTGGCATGCATCTGCCAATCCCTAGCACTTTTAAGCAAAGTGGTGAAAGCCACAACAGCTGCTACCTTTAGCAAACCCTTTAGTATGCTCAATTTTCTCTTTATCCAAAGTATTAAATATTAATATTTCATATTTATAACATTTTCCTGTTTAAATAAAAATATAAAGGCAAGATATATGTGGAGGATTTCTGAAATGAGCATAATATTCTATGAAACAAAGAGGGCAACAGATAATCTTTTTTCCTAGGATAATGTGGAAAAGGCCAAACCAGCTGAGTAGGTCAGCACTTAAGAGAACTCAGAAACCTGTAGGAACCTGCAGACATCCCTGAGACTGTGTGTGTCAGTCTGATTTATATGTAGGTCTGAGAAATGCATGTATGAAGAATGTATATACCAATATAACTTCCACCACATAACCTCTAAGTGAGCACTTAATGTGACAATAAGAATCCTAATCTACCAGTTCAATGCTTGACCATGGCTATCAGAAACTGTACTGAAAAGCCATTACAATAAGAAGAGTTTCTCTCTCCCCACTCAAAACAACTAGAGAGCAATTATGCCTTGAAAAATAGAGATATTTAAGTCACTACCTAAACCGTTTGGTCTGTAGTGAAATACTGTCCACACCTACCCATTATTCTTTGTCATATAGTTATTCCCTGGCACTAATGGAGATAGACTTATCATCAAAAACTCTGCATTCCTATCTTCCAAATTCATGTATTCTTTCAGATAATTCAGTTATTTCCTTTCAGAAGAATGTTCACTGAACCAGGCAATATTCCAACTCACATTTAATATGCCTTTTTAATGTCTGCATAAAATCCTTAATAGATATTCTGCTTAATTTTCTTAAATATTAAATAATGTACTATGTGGCACAAACTCAAAAGAATGGTTAAAACAGTCACTAATAGATCTTTAAGTATATCACTTTTTTGAAAAGGTCTTCAGAGCCCTGTAAGTTAAAGCTGCCACATTTACATCTGTCAACAAATCCTGATGACAAGGAAAGCACTCACTATGCATTTTTGATCTGATTCAAAAAGGCAGCTCAACAACCATGCACTTAGATAAGGTTTTGGTCTGGAACTGGCAGGTTAACACAATCATTCACTGATGAGGAAATTAAGGCACACTGCTAAGTGACAGTGGGTATAAGGTAGAAAAGACCTTAGTATTAAAGAGTCAGATCAGAAATATTACAACTGTAGCTTATGCTTTTATTCAACTGAAAAAGCCTAAGTTTTTATAAACTAAAAGTTTAAACTTTTAATTTTAAGTTTAATAACAAACTTAGAAAACCTATTGATTTGTTTCTGGAGCAAGCTCAGAACTATTGAACTATTGGACATCTGATAGAAGTGAACAAATCATGTGAAAACTCCTATCTTTATGGAACTTAATTACTTAAATACAAGACAGGGAATACTAGTGCTATGGACAATATGAAAACCAGGAAAGAGATGCAAGGAGTGTGAGGTGAATCTCAACTTTAGAATGGTTGGTCAGTAAAGGCCACAAGGGAGTCACATCTGAATAAAGACCTAAAAGAGAGAAGGGATGGAGGGAGTATGATGTCCTAGGCACAGGGAACAAGTACAAAAGACCTGAAGTGGAAGCATGCCTGACTTTAGGACTCAACCTTCATTGTTTATTATTTTTTTAAAAACTTGTATTTTTCTCTACTGAACGTGCTATCAAATGCTTTGGGAAAAGATCAGGAACTTACATGTCATAAATACTGCAGACAAGTTTCAGATACCTATGACACTTCAAAGGAGTTTTTGTGGATATATGTTGCAATGATCACTTGACTCACCTTGCTAAACTATATCCCCCATTTCTTCTCTTCTCCATTTCAGATTAAAACACTGACTTTCTAAAACTAGCTAATAAATGAAAGAAAATGCTTTGGGGAAAAGGCCCACTTTAAGGAAATCAAACTGCTTAGCAAAGTACACAATCCACCATAAGTCCTTCCTTTGAACATCTAAACCCACTGGTATTTATATCCAGCATTTAATAGTTAAGTACAATCTGGTATTGTTACTCTGCTTACATCTCATTATATGCTACTTTATATTGTTCTGTGTACACATTTGCTCACAGTAACTTCTTTGGAGCAAAGCCCATATTTTGGGAATGTCTGAATCCCACCAGGAGGCTTTGCACTTGGATGGCAGCATATTTGTTTGATGGTGATGTCATAGAAACAACCACAACAAGCAGCAGACATTCCTCCTGTTTTAAGTATCCATTTGTGGATAAAGCCTGAAAGAGACATCATGGACTCTTACAGACATTTGGATAATCTCAGCAATTTGGGCCAAGTTACTGTTTGTGTAACATTCCATTCTGCATAAGTTTCTCTTTGCATTTTTCAATTGTGCCCACTATACACTTTCAGTCTAGACACAAGCATGGATTAGCCACAAAACATAAAGGAACCACTCTGCGGAGCCCTGTTCAGCTCACTTTAGCCAGTGTAAATTAAACACTAGAATGTGAAAGGGACTCAATATGAAACTACCAGATTTGGAACTCTAAGACATTGTCCAGACAGTCTAGCAAGACAAACAGACACACAGGGAACAAGTTCAGTGTGTGTAAGATAGAGAGAACCATTTTGAAAGTACACAAGGAGTGGCCTGAAGGGTGAGGTAAGCCTTCACAGAAGAGTTGGCACCTGAACAGACAGGGTTTTGAAAGATGACTGGGCCTAGGACAATCAGACACGGGATCAAAGGGCATTACAGATTGTGCAAAACACTGGCAGCCACCACAGACCAAAAACTGTTGGAGGAAAGCATTCACCATCGGCAGTGAAGGAAAACTACTCTGCTTCTCAAGCTTTCCAAGAAAAAAAACCAATACTCAAAACAGGAGGTAGGAGAGGAGGAAAATTCCACCGATGCTTGTTTGGTTAAACCTCTTAGCCTCCCTTTGCTTTGTTTTGCTCTTTCTGTTTTGTTTCTCTCTTAAGGAAAGTACGGTGCTGGCTTAAAACTTCAGTTGAGAAAAGTACTTTAAGTTTACTGTGGAAAAAGAAAACTGAAAAGCAGGCAAGAGCCAAAGAATTTGTTTTTTAACGTATGCTTTTCTAGAATATATAAAAGGGACAAATTTAAAATTCAGGTATAATGGCCCTGAAATATTAATTCCAACCCTTCTCTTTGCCAGCTCCATAAATATTTACTTCATGCTCACTGTCTGTTAGTTTCTGGGATGCCAGGGCAATGAGGCAGTCTCATTGCCTTCCTTTGAGCAAGCCCTGCAGGCATTCTACTAAAAGAAATAAGCAGAGGGCAAATTCACTGTATCCCTTGTTCTTCTTCAGCTGCCAACCCAAACCTAAAGCTCAGAGAAGTGTTAAATTCCACTCAAGTAAATCAGACAGGACAAAACACAAATAACAGAGGTTCTGTCACCTCTTCCGTGAGCAGAGATCTTGAGAAGGGGTCCTCCCCACCAGTGATCTGGAATGATGATGGGAAAAGAAGGGGCCCGGAGGGACAGACATTACCTGGGAGCTCAGGTAGACTTTGAGGCACTCCTCGCACACGGCCTTTTTGCAGCACGGCAGGGGCTTGATGGGCTTGTCTTCCAGGCACACCCGGCACATCAGCACCATGAGGGGCGCGTAAGGATCCCCTACCCCGCCCAGGCCAGAGTAGGGTGGAGCACCTAACAGGCCGGACACAGAGAACGGCTCGGGCGCCAGGTAGAACTCCAGCTCAATGCTGCCGCCGTCGGGGGACAGGGGGTCAGCTGGGAGGGACAGCTGGGGACTGGGGAAGGAGGCCGGGAAGTTGGACGGGTTCGGCTCCGGCAGAGCCCGAGGTGGAGACAGGGGCGTCGAGAGCGGCTGGGCGGTGGGGACCTCCGGCAGGTCGCTCTCCACGCAGTACACGGAGCAGAAGACTTGTCGCTTGGCATGGGGTGGGCGCCGCGGACCCAGAATGTCCCGGACCAGTCCGTCGGGGGCCACGGCGCGGGTTCTGGGCTCTGGCTCCTCGCCGGGGGGCGCCTCCTGCTGTTCATCCCCTCCCTCGTCTCGGTGCCCAGCTTCCTCCTCCTGCTCCAGCTGCAGTTGCAAAGTCTGGGGGTTCAGGGGCCCGCCGAGTGAGGGTCCCGCGGACGGCCCCTGAGCTGGGCTCTTCTTCCACCCCGCCGTCCCCTGGCTGCCGGCGGGTTCCAGGGCGCCCGAGTCCACACGGCTCGAGTCGCTTCCGCGGCCGCCGCCGCTCGGCTCGGCGGAGGCGGCGCGCGGCCCCGGCGCCCCAGCGCTGTCCCCTCGCGGCCTCGGAGACTCGAGGTGGCCCGCGGCGCCCCCGTCCGGGGCTCGCACCTCCTGGGGCCCGCCGCAACCGCTCACCGTGCTCTGTTCCTCGCCCATCGCCGCCCGCGGCCCGCGCCGCCGCTGCCCATCCAGCCGCCGGGACCCCCACCCGGCGCCGGCGGGCAGCGGGGGCAGCGGCTCAGCTCCACTGGTGGCTCCGCTTCTGCTTCCGGGTCCCTCGTCCGGGGCCGGGACACCCCGAGCTCCCTCCAGGGAGCCCGTGCTCCTGGGCCGCGGTGATTGCGGAGCCCGGCCCGGCCTCCCGCTCCTCCTCCTCGTCCTCGTCCTCGTCCTCTGGCGCCGCCGGGCACCGCCTCGGGGGCGCGGAGGGCCGCTCGCTCCGGACGCTGGGGCGCCCGCCCCTCATGCAGGTTGGGGCGGTGCTGCTGGCCCCGCGAGCCCCGGGCGGGGCCGAGGAGTCCCGGGAGAGGCGGCCGTCAGTCCCGCGCCACGGGCCGTCTGGGCTGCGGGACAGGCGGCCTGGGTTGGGGGTGGGGGTGGTCAGGGGCCCAGCGGCCTGTGGCGGCGCGCCCGGAAAGGTGCTGAAGAGAGCCAGCCGCCCTCGCCCCGGAGGGACAGGGACTGGCTGGAGCGGGCGACCTCCCTCTGGGCGAGCTTCACCTGGAGCCCTTCTCGCCACTCCTCAGCACACCCTGGAGCGCACACCTCCCCGCACGTCCACACGCGCGCAGGCCCCGCGCGCACTGCGCGCACTCCCGAGTGGGTGTGAGCTGAGGGCAGAGATGCGCTCTCGCGCCGAGCTCACCCTCGGCCTCCAAAACCCACAGCAGCAGGCTCGCCTCTGGGCTGCGCCTTGAGTACAACTTCCTACCCAGCTACTCAATGCTGAGAGCTGACACTAGGAAACGCTGGCCACTCTAGAATGTGGAGTTCAAAGAAATAATGCGAGGGATTATTCAAAATGCTGCTGTGCAACTCTGTTTTCTGCCTACTGCGGCGGGAAGGATCTTTGAAACCCACTAATAATCCAAAAAGCACTTTCGATCTACTCCATCAACTGGAATCTTTACAAGGACTAATAAATAACTAATCTGAGATTTTTTTTTCAGGAAATTGTTTTTGTAGGGTTTTTTTTTTGGGGGGGGTTAACCCCTTTAAAGGAGTAGCACAAGGCAATAGCCTAGCCTAATTAATAAACTGGATCATTGGTGGAAGTCATGTAGAGTTTCATTAGCGTAACCATATTTGTCTCCAAAATTGTTCCAAGACAACAATTATATTTGAGCCAGAACTTAATTATGTGTTGATCTATCTTTATTTTACAGGAAGTATTAGTCACTCAGACACTGGTGTGTTTTAGTTCCCTAAAGCCAATGAAAACATTTTTGGGAAATCAACCTTTTTTTTTTCCTTGAGAAGGAATTCAATTTACACATTCATGCAATAGGAATGAGCTGTGAAATATGTACATTTTTTTAAGTCTTTAAGTTGTTATGGGTTGTTCTAAAATATTTTCCAAATCAGATGCAAATGCTACAAAGGTCACCAGCTTTGCAGTACTAAGAAAGCAAAAACACCAAAGAAGACATCAGCGAGCATTCTGTCATGTGTCTGCTGCTCAGGTACACCTGCAAGGGATGAATTTGATGGCTACAGGATGTGTCATTTATTGGTCTGATTCACGAATGAATTTTTTGAAGATTTAGATGCTATACAAGAATTTTGTTTCATCATGGCTGCATGATTTTCTGGTAACTGCTGAGTTTCTCTGAATGACACCCCACTCATTGTTATGAAGGCAAGATTCCCGCATGTGTGTGCCTTCTATTTGTGTCACTATCTGTTCTCCAAGTTACAACAGGCTTAGAGTAAGACAAGAGTAACAAAACAGATGCAGGAAAAAACATATATATTCAGAAGAGGAATGAATTAGCAGATTTGCTTTCTAGGTCTACTTCTGAAAGGCATACTAGGATGTTGGTTCAGCTTTCCTATTTTCTCCTCTACATAGATCTGTGGGAGAAAAGAACTTGAATTCATGAGAGAAAGGGGGCATCACATGGAAACACACTATTTACTTTCTTTTTCCATCTAAATCCCCTAAGAAAAATCCAAAGAGCAAAATTTATGAAAAAATTAACAGTTAAGACAAAACAATGTAATTCATTCAAATTTTAAAAGAAACAAAAGCCTGAGTGTTTGGAAAACAGAAAAAACCATGAAGGAGGAAGAGGGAGATTGGAAGGTAAAGAAGGAAGAAAGAAAAGAAGCTAATTAATTCTACTGCCCACTACCCAAAATAACCACATAAGCCACTTTAATAGATTGGTACGTTTCATTCTTGTGTTTACATCTGTGTGTATAAAATACATGTTTGGTTGGTTGGGTTTTTTTTTTTTTTTGTGGTACTGGGGCTTGAACTTGGGGCCTTTACCTTGAGCCACTCCACCAGTCCTATTTTTGTGAAGGGATTTTTGAGATAGGGTCTAGTGAACTGTTTGCCCAGGCTGCTGATCTCTGCACCCTAAGTAGCTAGGATTACAGTTGTGAGTCACGGGTGCTCCGCCAATATAACTTGTCATTCTATTTTTTCTGCTTTTCTGCCTTTTATTTAGTGATACATCCCAAACATTTTTCATACTAGGAATGTATTTCTGTACATCATTATGATTTGTGAACATATAGTATTTTTCTACATATACTATTATGTCATAATTTATTTAAATATGCCCACTGTTTTAAAATAGATAATTTAAAATTTTAATGAAATCTATAATGTCTGTATTGTTCAAATGTATTATACTAACATATAATGTAGGAATGTGTACATTCCTAATATACAATAGGATAAAGTCCTAAAAACTAAACTGCTGCAGAAGAGTGGAGTATTTTGAAGGCTTCTGGCACATATTATCACAGAAATTTAGCACCAGTTTATAGTTGCATCAGCATTGTGGGTGTGTTAGTCGGTTGTATGTACTGTGACAAATACCTGAGCAAAACAACTTATGGGAGAAGGAATTATTTGGCTCACTGTTTCAGAGAGTTGAGTCCACAGTCCTTGGGTGTTTCTGGGATCATAGTGAGATAGAGCATCACGGCAGCAGGAGCAAGTGGCAGAGTAGAGAGGGAGGAGGACCCTAAACAACATACAGCCCCCAAAGTCTGGCCCCCAGTGACATACTTCCTCCAGTTACTAAAGTTTCTAGAACCTCCCATAAAAGCACCACAAACTTGGGGACCAAGCCTTCCATACATAAGCCTTGTGGGTGGGACAGTTCATATCGAAGCCATAACAGTAGGTGTGAGAGAATCTACTTCTTTAATCATTCATTCATAACATCACACTTTTAATCAATGGGTACTTTTGTCTTCAAACAAACAGGGAAAATCAAATAGTACCTGTGAATCCCCCTTTGAGCATTTGCAATTTAATACTTATGTATACTTCTCTACTCCTGAGACTAAGGTTCTGACAACTTCCCTTCATCTTTTTTGAATTTCCTCTTTACCTGTTCTAGTGACAATAGTGTTCTGCTGAGTTAAACTCAGTCAGAGTTAATACTTTGAAATCCATGCTACCAATTCTCCATTTTGACTTTTATAACAGACACAAAAAGAACATTTTTTTAAACAGTGAAACAGTTCATCCCAATTGATTGAGAAATAAGCTAGGTGTTCAATGGAGAGATTATTCCTCTTCCCTGTTTTTTTTTTTATTATTGTTTTTGTAGCATCCATACAACACTTCTGGGCTGGCAGAGTGGCTCAGTGTATAGTGCTTGCCTAGCAATCATGAGGCCCAAGTACAAAACCCCAGTACTGCAAAAAAAACCACTTTAAGCTGTCCAGAGTAGACTGTATCTATATAGGAAAGTCTGCATATTTAGATACCAACAATATGTTTGTGGAAATATTAAAGAAAAGAAACATTCAACCAGTGTTATTCTGTAGTGACTTAAGCATCATGTAGAACTGAAATTTCCAAACTATGTGCCAACATGATCAGAAGACTATAGCAAACTCATTGGGGCACCATGGGTATATAAAATTCTTAAGGGAATTGCAACATTATCTGTCATACCCTAGGCAAACTGCTACGGTTAAGTTGTTTGGACCTAATTACTACTAGAAATTTCTTTGGCTTAAGGGTTACCATGAAAAATAATTGAGAAACAGGGCATATAAACCAAGAGAGTCTGGTTGGAGAATTTGATTTAGGATTGGAAACTTCCAGCTTAGGTTAAACACAAGAAAGAGAGACCATGATCTCTAGAAATTTAAATGTTGAAACTGTTCCAGAAATAGGGGGAGAGGAGAGAAAGAATGGTGGAGGGGGTGAATTCAACTATGATATATTGTAAGAATTTGGTAAATGTCACATATACCCCAGTGCAACCATAATATTTTTTTAAAATATTTTTAAAAATAAATTTTAATTTTAAACTTACAAAATACACTTGTATAATAAAGCAGTAACCTTAACTGAAGAAAGGTTTGGCCCTTGCTCCAAGCTTCTGGGAGGTAACCTCTAAGCCCTTGGAATGACCTGCTGGATGAGTGTTTGTTACCTGGGGTCCTTGGGCCATGACACACAGTCTGTGAAAACAACATAATTTATGGTAGGTGCTTTGAGTCATGTGGTATCAACTGGAACTCTGGAGGGTTAGAACCTAAGGTCAACTATGTGGATGTGGATATTCAGCCATGTCTACATTACTGATCCCCAGTAAAAAAAACCTTGGACATTGAGGCTTGGGTGAGCTTCCTGGTTGGTGCAAATGGTCATATATCATTGCTGAAAGAAACAGCATTATCTGTACAATTCCACTGGCTGAGGACACTTGGTGGCTCTGTGCCTGGTTTCTCCTAGATGCTTCTGCTCTAGATTCTTTTCGTATTGCTGATTTTCATCTAACTTTTGAGTGTAACAAAACATAACTGTGAGTAAGCCACTGTGCTGAGTTCTGTGAGTTCTTCTAGAGAATTATGGAACCATAGGGTACCATTGGGAACCTCCTGAATTACAACACTACAAAAATGGAAGTCCATTTGTGTTTCTTGGTCTTCATTTGCCTTGTTATCCCAAGCAGAAAGATGTCACCACTAATTTAAGAGTAAGACAAGTTTAATATTAAAAGAAAAAGAGAAAATGTTTTACCTTGTTCTCATCACAAGAGAATGCTTATTTTCCCAGAAGCTGGCCATTTT